CAATGGAAAGCAGGCCTGGGGAGAATTTGGAGGACAGATGGAGATTCTCCTGCTCCTGGCCAACTCCTACTCACTCTTCAGAGCTCAGTTTAAATAGGGCTTCCTCGGGAAGACTTCCAGGACCCTTCAGACCAGGTCCCATTTCCTTGCCCTATTTCCCAAAGCACCCTGCCCTTTCCCTTTGGCCACACTTGTGCAATGTGGAATACCTAATGCAGGACTTTGCTGGGAACCCAGTGTGAGCCACAGAGTACCCGACACACACAAGCGCTCAGCTGATACTCACTGGGTGGACGGACCATCTGCAAATCCAGATGAGGGCAACAGGAGGAAGGCGCGTGTGAGGAAGCAAGGGTTTGAGGAAGAACAGCAGGCACATAAACATAACAGCACATAACCTTGCTGGAACTTTGGGGAATTTGATTCCATTTTGCTATGCCAAACCCATATACACTTTCTGAAGGGGAGGCAGGACCTACAATGAGGGAATTTTGTCACTGCTTAGCTGTCGAGGAGAAAATGCATTTGCCAGCTGCTGGCTAATTCAAAGTTTCACGGTTTATTTTCAACTCATCATCTATTTTAAAAACTGACTTGAGTTTTGCCTCTGGCTATCTACAATTCGTCTCTCCTTATGCCTCAACTTTCCCACTTAAGCTCTTCTTTGCCATTTAACCCCTGAAATAGTCCCAATTCCAAATATTCTGACTTGCTGTCCATATAAACCATCAAAACACCTCAGAAGTTTCATCATTTCTACATTCCTACTATGCCTGCAAGACAATTTCTCACATCTCACATCTCAAAGTGGCACAAAAATCCCTAGTTAGCCCATGTATTTCAATTTGGGATTCAGAAAATGTGCCTTTAGCTATTACCCTATGTTTACTCTTTGTTGTATCTGTAATCAAGTCAGATTTTTTTAAGCACATAAAATTATGCATCTAATATATGGAGCAAGCACTAGATGCTGAAGATACAAAGATGAATAAAATACTAGCAGGAAAGCAATGTTAAAAAATGTATATCAAGCCGGGCGCGGTGGCTCACGTCTGTAATCCTAGCACTCTGGGAGTCTGAGGCTGGTGGATCACTCAAGGTCAGAAGTTCGAAACCAGCCTGAGCAAGAGTGAGACCCTGTCTCTACTGAAAATAGAAAGAAATTAATTGGCCAACTAAAAATATATAGAAAAAATTAGCCGGGCATGGTGGTACATGGCTGTAGTCCCAGCTACTCGGGAGGCTGAGGCAGACAGACCACTTGAGTCCAGGAGTTTGAGGTTGCTGTGAGCCAGGCTGACGCCACGGTACTCTAGCCCAGGCAACAAAGTGAGATTCTGTCTCAAAAAAAATGTATGTCAAGAATGGAGGAGGGGATGCTGCTTCCCTGAGGAACTAGTATGAACTTCTTATGAACAGTGACTTTTGTTACCTGTTTTTCAGTGGAAGGAATCAAAACCACAGCTAGAGAAAACTAAAATGATAATACGTGTCAATTATCAGTTCTCACTCATTAGATTATAAAAAGTAGCTAGTGGTGAACAAACAAAAAAAACAAAGGGTATAGGCAATATAGTATTAGTCCATCCAGTTTACCACTGTAACAAATCAAAACATAGACCAGGAATTCCAACTGAGTCCTGCTCAGCTAGGGAACATCAGCAAGAACAAAGGAATGGGGAACAAAAACAGCTTGTCTTACCCAGGGAAATCACAAGTACTTGTGGAGCAAGTAAGCTGGAGAGATGAGAAGAGGGCAAAATAATGGGCCTTTCTACAACACGAAGGGAGCTTGAACATCTTGCACCTGACTGCCCATGGTCATGATGGTAACAATGGCAGCTAACATTCACTGAGAGCTTGTTTTGGGCCAGATGCTGTCCTAACAAATCCTACTAGGCAGGTCTATTTTTATGGCCTTTCTATAAGTGGAGAAATTAAAAAGAGCTTGTGAGAGATGAGCTATTGAAGGATTTTCAGCAAGAGTAGCATGTTGAGATTTATATTTTTAAAACACATCTCTGTACAAACTCAGTATTTACAGATGAAATGATACATCTTACCTTTGCTTCAAAATAACCAGAGAGTTTACAGGTGAAGATATAAAGATTTCCACAAGCTGATAATTGTTGGAGCTAGGTGATATGTACTATTATACTAGTGTTTCATCTTTTATATGTTTAAAGTTTTCCATAATAAACTTAAAAAAAAATCTCTGGCTGCTATACAGAGATCTGATTAAAATGCGGGAAACAGGAAGGAATTAGACCAGTTAGGGGATTATTTAACAAGTGAGAGCTGATGAGAGCTGGGAAGTGGCAGTAGGATAGAACATCTTGAGAGGACAAAAAATTGCTTGATAACTAGCAGTTGCGGGGTAGAGGTAGAGAAAAATCTCAGGTTTAAATTCAATCTTATGTACCTGGCTTATGGGATGGTTAATGGAAGAGCTGTTAGCCTTATAGGAAACACAAAAAGAGTTTGGGAACAGTAGAGGGAAGGGTGTGGAAATGTGGCAAGTTTGGCATGGCAGTAGATTGAGCATTTAGGTCAGTGGTCCTTAGTAACGGAGGTGTATGATTGTACCCCCAATGTAAACCTATTTGTTTATAAATTACACAGATCTACAATATAAATGAGAAACAAAATTATTTTTTGCACAGCATAGAAGTTACAGTATTTCCTTCCTACATTCTAATGGGCTACATATCTCATAAAGTATGCACACCCTACTTTGAGGATCACTGATCTATGTAAAGATTATGGCTTTAGGATTGGGATGTGCAATCTCTTGAAACATCAATTTACTTCCCTTTAAAATGCCAGTATTACTCTCCGTACAGAGGAACAATGAGACTTACACGAGATTCTATGTACATACTGATGTCAGCACAAGTAGAGCTACAGGGTGTCAGAAATGCTCTCCCCACCCCACCCCTTTCCTCCAGCTTAGAATAAAAGAATGGACAATACTTTTGTTTCTTGCATAATGAATTTGTAGATGCATTTAAGTATGATCCCAAGTAGCTTAAGAACTCTTAGAAGGTGTGAGCAAGCACCTGACTTCATGGGCATTGGATTGCTGCCATCATCCCCAAGCTGAAATGCAGATATGCTGGTCACAAACCCTGCAGCTGGTCACTACATTCTGTGCAGGTTGGAAAGTGTGTGTGGAAAGAAACACACACACACTTAACACCTGGTAAGACAAATGACCTTTCACCTGTAATTTGTTCAAACAGAGGAAATTTCTTCAAAAGACTAATAATTCTTCAGTTCATTGAATTATTAGTGGGGATGGGGAGAGAGATGAAATGCAGTGTATCAAAGATTTCAACTTGTCAACTCATCAATCCAAGGGTACCTGAGTACATCCTATGGCCCTGGATGGCAAAACATCACCTCACAGCTCAGGATGATTCCCTCAAAACGGGGACATGAGCCATAGTCACACTATCATAGCAACTGCCAATAGAGAATTGTGTGAAGTTCACGGTGTAGTTCTCATCTCCCTGAAGAATTAGTTTGGCACTGGTTATAAGGAGAAGCAATGAGAACCTGACCCAAATCCCTCACTCCCACTGAGGGAGAAAAAAACATTAAAAACAAGACACAGAATTGGTAGCATCTGTTTGTAGAACAAATAGCACATCCGTCTACCTTAGAAATTAGAACTGGAAATTCTTTGCTCTGTTCCTAGCAGAGTATGATGATATTCTATGTATGATCATAAAAATGATCTAGAGATTTTAACCTAGTTAAAATTTAAACTCTTGCTTCCATCATTTTCTCTAGAATGACAAATTCCTGGGAACTGAGAGCCATATGCAAAATGAACACATACAAGCCTTGGTGTGCATTTCTGAAACAAACAATGATTTATTTAGCTGAAGCTAAAGACAAGGTAATGCTAAAAGCTAAAGAAAGCCTTGCCTCCAATTATTCACATGATCCGATGCTGCCCTCTAGCAGCTGGAGAGAGAAATAGCATTAACAAGCCAATTGGTTTCAGGAATGTAAAGTTTCAGCATTAATATTATTACGGAGGATGTTGCTGAAAAAAGAGGGGACAGGGGAAGCATCTCCACAATTAGATAGCAATAGTCTACTTAATAGAAAATGTGCTTTCTAGAAAGATGCTCGAATAAGTTAACACAACCCACACCTATTAGAATGCTCTAGGTAATCTCCAGTAGACCTGGGAGAGCCTTGAAGACATTGAAGAGACCCTCCACTGACCTGTTTGTTTGAATACACTCAAGTGGGACCTCTTACTTCACTAGGCAGAGCCATATTGTGTCACTGGAAAAATTCCTTCCTCCACCCTTTCTCTTCCACGTTTTAGCAAGTAGGTGGTTGATAGCTATTAGACTTACTTGGTACTTCTCACAGCCCACCCCCCTCAACCCCTTTAATACCTCTTAAATACCCGATATAATGTCAGTGTTTCCTAAGAAATGTAGAGACTAGTTTAAAGCAAGGTTACATTATGGTTAGAGAATTATGGAATCAATTGTCAACCTTGGAACCCAAGTTAAATGAAACATTTAAGTTGGAATGATGAACATTTCCAGGAAGGGGAGTGGCTAATAATTAGTAAGACAAGACCACCAGGTTCTTATATGCTCCCTCAGGTAACAATGACAATGATTGGAAATAATAAGCCAAAAAAAAAAGCCTTTTCATTTCCATAGTCACCTTCCTGGGAAGACTTGGATGTTCAAAACCCACTCCATGAGATTTCACTGCTCTTACGTCAAGGCAACTGACCGCCACAGCTCATCAGAGTATCTATTAGCTGACATTCTGAAATGAGAGATCTATACAGGAAGAGGAGGAAGTATGAGAAACTGTGAAGTATGAGAAATCTGCCTATATTATTATATTTTTGGCTACAGACAGGTGTTTCCAATTTCTCATGTTTAGTCTTAAAACAAATGCATCCGAGTGTGTGTGTGCACGATGCACTGCAGGTAGGGAGAAAGAACCACATACACTCATTTTCAAACAAAAGCTGCCATATGTTTATTAAGACACTACTGTTAACTTAAGCATAGCTGGCTCTATAAATCATTAGTCATATATTATCACACATTCAGGAAAGTTTCTGAGAAGATATATCAGGACGGGTTTCTCTTGTGGCTCAATTGGATCTGAGGAAAGAACAAAAGAAATTACATACCTGATTTACAGCTGCTGCTCATCAACAAACAACATGTACTGGCATCTAATTTTGAGAGGCAAGACAGCTGAACTGCCTTACCCTCTTGGCTAAAGCTTTGCTTAAAATTCCTCTCCCTTTAAAAGTCTCTCCTCAATATTCATTAATCTCAGAAAAGACCAAAAACTCAATTGTGATGAACAGGCCAATTGCAAATCTCAACCACAGAACCACCACCATATCTCAGATCAAAGATGAAGCTATGAGAAGGGAAGCAGGTCCTACATTTTAAATATTGGGCAGCAACACTAACAGCCACCCATTCATTATCTAGCTCTGTGAAACAGGGCAAGCCAGTTATAATCTCTCAAGAAACATATGCACTAAGAAGGTTTAAGTTCACACAAGCTATAGCTATATGTGAAGATATCTATTTCTCTGTTAAGTCTATTTTCTTTTGTGGATTAAGCATGTTCAGTAATTATGACTTAGTTGACAATTACTGTACACGATATTAGAGCTCTGACCTCAGAACAACAGAGCCATAATGCTGTGATTTGGGATAACAAATTCCCAAGGAAGGTTCAACTCCAGCTAGACAGTTCCCGACCTACTTCATCTCACTCCCCTAACTGAAGATGCAACAACTTAGAGGCAGAGAAACAAAGCCCAGCTAATGTGGTACACCTCTGCCAACTGACAGCAATGGGTATAATCTTAAAACCTGAAGAATTTATTAAAAAAAAGACTTTCTTACTTCAAATAATCTTCAGAAGTCTGAGTAATGGTGCAATCTGAAAAGTGAAAAATAAGTCATCTAAACAAAGCATCAAATTGGAGTCTTTGAAATACCTGATCAACCATTCCCAATAGAAATGTCTGTCCAACCCATTTACTGGTATATAGCTAGAAACGGTCTCACTCTAGAAAGCAATGCTCTGGTGAAAAATCTAATGGCCTTTGGGGCTTACTTAGAGAAAAGAAAATTTTAGTTATAAAAAAATCAAAGCTTTGGAAGAGAGTTTCTAAGTGTATTAAGAATCAGCATCTTTTTATAAAATATGAACTGAAACAGAACCACCCCAAATCTGATCTAAAATGAGACTGATGAGATTATCCAGGTATAACCCATTTTCCTTTCAAAGTAAGTAGAACTATAACACCATATTATTGTTTGCTATATTCTCTTTTCACAACTCTCTCCTTAAAATCAATTTACATTCTTCCTTTTCTTCACTCCCAATTTCAGTTTATTTTCAAAACTGGCATTCCCTAAAGCATACAAACATAAACACGGAGTTCTATGCAGCACTCACTACCCACACAAGGAGAAAGGAAAAAGGACTGTGATTTAAGTCACAGGTTTTCTACTGAAAGCTCTTTAGTTCTCCCTGAAGAGCTACCTTGTCACCTATATCTTCTAGCAATGATGCAATTAGATTTTGTTTGTTCCTGTTTTATAGCCAAGCATGTTGGATGCAGAAAAGAACCTGGACAGAGTATATAACTTTTGGTTATTTTTATAGTTAACATCTTTATTTACAGCTTACAGCTGCAGGGAAAGAAAGACCTTTTTTAAAAAAAAAAAATCACTTAAATCTAGTGGAGTAAACTGTGAATTGTCAAATCAGCAAAAATTAATCGAGGGAGTTGCTCTGAACCTATTCAGGTTTGGGGGGGGCTGCCCGATTGGCAAACAAACAAATTAAGTAAATCTAAACATAAGGCATCAAGAAAGTGGCTATCATTAAAGTGGCTACTTTTCCTCAATTGGACATCTCAAAATACAGCTTACCAAAAAATAAAATATTCCCCAGATGAACTTTTCTGCTAGTGACATTTTATGGTAGAAAAATGCACAAAGTAAGATAATGAAGATGAGCGTCAAGCTGAAAATGCTACAATTTATTAACTGTAGAATAAATTGGATATAATTGTAGAACTGGGAGTACATACTATCTCTTCACGTTGTCAAAAAGATTATAGGTATCTCTGACTTTTAAACATACATAATACCTACCTATACATTAGAGCCTTGCCCTTCTCATTCCCCAAGGCAAAGTAACCACTTCTGGGAGAAAAATCCATGGTATGAACATAAGAAATATTCTTCTTTTTAATGACAGGGAAGTTTGAAAATACTGTACAGGAAGGGAGATGAACCTGTAGGAGATAATAAAAAGCTTTAAAGTACAACTGGGAACTTATCTTTCTTAAATTTTAATCTTCATTCCATCTTTTTGCTGAAACAAAAAGTTCATTTTGAGTATAGCATGCCAGAAGTACAGTCTCTTAAGGTAGCAAAGTGTTTCAAAATTAAAATTTGATCTCTAATGTGTTGTTAACTAATCAGAAAGGGAGCGAAGAGAAGAAAGTGTTAATGCAGCATCTAGCATGATGCCTGGGAGATTCAAATGTTTGCTGAACGAATAAATGAATAAACTAAAGCAAAAAGTCAATGGCAGTGCTCACTAATGCCCTAGCTTAATGATCACAGTAAAGAATACTAAAATCTGATTACCAAGAACAGATATTTTAAACATTAAGAAGAGTCTGATTTTATATAACTGAAGCCTAGACAAAGTCATACCAGATCTTCCAATATCATATTTCCTTTTTACACTTTTATTTTTCACCTATGTGATATACTCCGTGCTTTTTGCAATTTCTCCTCAAAGAAAGCTGAATCATGAAAACCTGACTCCAACTGAAGTGTGTCCTGATTTAGAGAGAGCTAAAAGCTTACCTCAAAACTAGGCCTAAGCATGACAAGGGCACAGTCTCTTTCTCCAGAGTCTACTCCTGGGAAAAATGGACCTGAGTCCAAGACAGGTAAAACAAGTCCTCATCCAATCTATGGATGAGTAAAATCTAGGCATAGAAGCAGTTACCTTCAGACTATGACAGTAACAACTCTCACTTTCAAATGTTCTCCAGCTGTTCCAAGACATACAGCACCTTCATGTTCAAATATATACAGTGAACATTTGGCTATTTATCTTAGCAGTCTGTCATCCTCCATACATTTAGATGAGACTGTACCAGCCATTCAAAGTGATTTTCATAGACAAGTACTGGGTAAAACTTACTGATATATACATCTTTTATTAAACAGGTTTCAGTCAGTCATTCATGTATTAGGACCAACTCCCTCTGATACATATATACCAATCATTTTGTGAAGAAAATAAAATTTACACTGAATCTCTAAGCCATGTTCAACTATTCAAATTCTGCCAGAAGGCAGGTTCTGCTGCCTATACACATGGCATCGGTATGCTGATAAGAAGTGGTCTTGGCCCATTAAAGCTAAGACACTGACAGTACCCCCGGTTTGATCTTAACTTTTAAAGTTCTTAAACACTGCTCTCTATACAGATTCCTTGAGAAATTACTTTAAGTATGTGTGTGCGCGCACACACACACACACACACATATCTAATTTAAAGCAATTAATAAAGTAGACTCCTGTTTTATGAAGAGAAGCTATAATAAATATATTTCAAAATGTATACTCAGCTTGGGAATGCAGAAATTATATGAATTTTTGATAACTGCCTTGGCTTCTTGTGTTTTGCTTAGGTTATTATAAGTTTGCATCCTCCAAGCATCCATCAACTATGAACAGGTAATCCAAAACATCAGGGAAACAGAACATGAGGAAAAAAAATCTGCTATTCTATGCCTGACTTTTGTTCCTACTTTATTCACCTGATGATCTGAAACAATTCCTCAGATACTAACTCAAGAACTTTCTGGCATGACTTTGGAAGTTTGGGGAGCTGGTTTTCTAACTCTTCCAAATCAAAACACACTAAAACCAACCTCTGTATTTGAATGATTTCTTAAAGATAATTATATTAAACCACCTACCTTTCTATTTCCAACCAAAGTTGGGGGTAAAAGGTCTCCTAATTTGGATTCATGTAACTTTAAATTAATAATTAAATCAATTACTTATTAGGACAAAAACTGGAGCACAAGACACACAGCAATTTTTTAAGACCATTTTCACCAGAAGGTAGCTGCTTATTTTTGTAGCTAAATAAAAATCAGCACACAGTACCAGAAATATTGTGGTAAATACACACATTTACAAAGTCTTTGACATAAATGGTGTCCCCCTAGACAAGAGACCCTCATGCAACAAATAACTTACAAAACCATACACAGTGGCCATGCAGTCACACAAGCCAGTGTGTTCCTTCTGGTGGAAGATAAATGTCAACTTATTGACAACTTATTTTTATTTTTAAACTTGCTCTCTTCTATTGACTTGGAATATCAGAGGCAGGGGAGTCGACTTTTACAATGTCCTCCTAACAGAGTCAATAGTATCTATCTGCAAAGCTCCCCAGTTTAATCTCTACTGATTAGCGCATCCTCCCTCAGATCAATGATCCCACCTGGTTAGACCTATGCTGTACTCTGACCTCTCTTTATGGCCTCTGTATTGAAAGCTAGAGTTCAAATTAATTGAACTCTTAATTTTTAAAAAGCCCCATAAAGACCCAACTTATTTAACTCAGAAAGTTCCTTTTATATCTGACACCATTTCTGTCATGATAGTTAAGGGTCCAGATAGCAAAATTCAACAAGTAAAAAAGCTCACTCATCCTTGATCTAATGGATAAGAAGTTCTATGACTTTCTACTACATCCAAAATTATAAATATAATAACAATTTGACTTCTGGGTCTGTTACAGGTGCAACAGCTTAGATTTATATTCACTGCTTTGTACTGGGATAACAAAACTGTTTGGATCATTATAAGCGATTGCGTTTCACTGAGGCATTCTGAAGCTGCTATGCCTGGCTTCTTTCCATTAGAGATGATGGTTGACTAGCATTTAAAAATTGTGATTTGGCTGTTACTAATGAATTCCTTGTGTGATTTTGCCACAATAAAAAAGCATAAATGCTGTCACGATCACTGAAGCAAACTATGCAGAACTATTATACACCTTGTGGAATATATTATTGTTAAGAGGAGACAGATCCCATAGTTTTCTAAAACAATTTACTACCATTAAAATGATAAAAGGGCCGGGCGTGGTGGCTCACGTCTGTAATCCTAGCACTTTGGGAGGCCGAGGCGGGCGGATTGCTCAAAGGTCAGGAGTTCGAAACCAGCCTGAGTGAGACCCCGTCTCTACCAAAAATAGAAATAAATTAATTGACCAACTAAAAATATATATACAAAAAATTAGCCGGGCATGGTGGCACATGCCTGTAGTCCCAGCTACTCGGGAGGCTGAGGCAGTAGGATCGCTGAGCCCCGGAGATTGAGGTTGCTGTGAGCCAGGCTGACGCCACGGCACTCACTCTAGCCTGGGCAACAAAGTGAGACTCTGTCTCAAAAAAAAAAAAAAAAAAAAAAATGATAAAAGGTTAATATTACTAGTACACCACTCCCTTTAGAGGAGAAGGGATTTTAAAGCTGACCTGAATTAGAACCTTCTCATTTATCAAATGATTCATTCAACAGAGAGGCCATAAAATGCAATGCTTAATTTTTCAAACATTTTCCAGCAGAACCCCTTCTTAAGAAAAATCATATAATCTCAACATATACCACAGATAACAGTGATGCTGCTCTATATGATACAGGTAGAAGCTTGACCTCCTCCTTGCCCTGTTTGCCATATAAAGTCCTATGCAGATTCCAGGGCTCTGCACAATTCTGTTAGAAAACCACTGAACTGCTAGAAAGAATATGGAATCTAGAATCATAATTCTGCCCTTTATTAACTATATACTTTGGGTAAATTAATACTCTGCAGAACTGTTATATGGCTCAAATCTTTTTGTAAAATTTTTTGTCCATCTTCACAAACTATACACAGCAATACAATGTTGATGGAGTATGCAAGGCTTTTTGCCGAGTGAGCGAGATAAAAATAAAAGACTTTGTAAAGTGGGTACAATATGGTAGTATACACATAACAACAACACAATGCAATACTGCTATTCAAAGTTTTATGTCATCTGTATATCTGGTACCTAGAGCAAATATCTGTTAAATGAATGAAAAAACTGGTTCTGCCTTCACAGAGATGGCGTGGGATTTAATCTGAGCTCTGAGGTTGGGCAGAAAATAGTTAACACAGGCCTGAGGCCGTTATCCTTAGAAAGGCCTGCTTGCAAGGGTATCTGAGGAACTTGACTAGGAAATAGTTCCTTACAATGGCATGAACCTTTCCCCAAATGATAAGGATGACTCGTGGTGCCTAATCCACTTGTACAAACAATGCAGTTTATGCTTAACACCTGGCTTTACTTCTGGGACTCTACAATTTTGGAACATGTTAGGCAGAGGGTGCCTATAGTAACAACTTTGGGCACTGAGTCTCTAATGAGCCTCCCAGGTAGAAAACACTTAACGCATCTTGTCACAACCTATTGCTAGAAGAATTAAACATGTCCTGTGTGACTCTACTGGGAGAGGACTCTTAGAGCTTATGCTTGCTTTCCTTCAGACTTTGCCCCATGTACCTTTGCCCATTACTGATTTTGCTTTGTGTCCTTTTGCTGTAATAAATCTTATCCATGAGTATGACCATATGTAGACTCCTGTAAGTCCTTCTAGTAAGTCACTAAACCTGGAGGCAGTCCTGGGGACTCCTCACACAGAGGTATATTCTCAAGTACTATCTAGTTTTTTAATTTGCAATACTTTTATACAATTTGTTTTCAAAATCTAATAATTGCCTCCCTTCCATTAAGACAACAGGCCTTAAAAAAGTAGATGAGGCCAGGTGCAGTAGCTCACACCTGTAATCTAATCTGGGCACTCTGAGAGGCCAAGGTAGGAGGATAGCCTGAGGTCAGAAGTTCGAGACAAGCCTGAGTAAGAGCAAGATCCTGTTTCTACTACAAATGGAAAAATCAGCCAGGTGTGGTGGCACACGCCTGTAGTCCCAGCTACTAGGGAGGCTGAGGCAGGAGGCTTGCTTGAACCCAGGAGGAGTTTGGGGTTGCCATGAGCTATGATAACACCACTGCACTCTAGCCAGGGTGACAGAGTAAGACTCTGTCTCAAAACAAACAAAAAAAGGTAGATGAGGAAAGAAAACTGTAGAGGAATAAAGTATTTGCCTTACATATATACCTTACTATATATATGGTGGAAAAAACCTCTGAAAATGAGAACCACCGTTTAAGAAATGCTAAGTATGGACAGCACAGCTCTCCCAAAAGAGCTGACATAATACAAACTTGGTGGCTACTGTGGATCACTTCAACAATTATATCTAAAAGCTATAATACTAATAATTTCTACATCAAAAGCCACTCTTTTAGAAATAATCCAACACTCTCCTGTTATCTTTCCATGTTTTCAACTTAAAATTTAAACTTATCAATGATAAAAGGGTAAAGAAATATTACCAATCTGACTGCTTCTTTCATTTTTCCTGAAGCAATTGCCAAGATTTCTGTAGTAGGATTGAAGGTCAGAGAAGTAACACCTGTAACCAAGTTCATTATAGCTTTTATTGGCTTTGGGTTTGTTTCTTTGAGACAAGAATCTTGATTATATAAGTTTACCACTCCACAATTAGAGCTGCAAAGAGAAAAGGCAATAAAATAGATTTAAAAACAAGTAAAAGGGCTTTCACAAACCTAAGTGAATATAGATTTAACCCCACAGACTGGTATTTGCAGGAATCATATGTTACAAAGAGACTAGCAGCTGGAGAGTTCATCCCAAGGCTAGACATGTTCTATCAGTTCTACTTCAGCCTTGCTGAACTCTTGTTAACTCTGGCAGCTTTTCACTTTCAGGTCTAGCTAGAAAATCCAAAAAAACATAGAATCTCCATTATTCATTCCTTCAATAAATATTTATTCCATGTCAACTCTATGACAGGCACTATTTAAGTACTTAGGATGCAAAAGTGAACAAAAGAAACCAAGACTTCCACTGTCGTGGTGCTTGAAGTCTTCATGTGTGAATGCTATCTGCCCAGCCCCCATTTATATTATTATAAGAGGTATTTATAGTATCTCTTTTTTTATTCTATGACATTTGTGAGAACTTCCAAAACCAGTGAGAAGCAGCAGTAATAGTAGGCATCTTACTTTGGCTTTACTAAGAATACTTATAGTCATGGTTATGGAAGTGATCATTCACTCCCAAGTTATCTAAATATGTATCAGCAATAAATTGTACCAAATACTCTCACAAAAAGTAAATCCTAATGACCTTATGTTGTAAGCACATCACTAACAGAACCATTCATAGACAAGAACTTTAAGTAAACATTTTGATCTCAACTTTCAGATCCTTAATTATTGGCATCATATACAGTATGAGGTACAGCATTAGGGTACTTGCAATTCACAGATAATTAGTAACTACAATATAAATATGAGAAGATGCAAGAAATTAAGCCTCAATCTCACAAGAGTGACAAACGCATATTCCACCAAGTACACTCTCATTCCTACCACTCAAACATACCCATTTATTCACTTAACACTGACAGACTGCCAACAAGTCAGATAAAATGCATAAAGATGACAATTTCAGTTCACGTGAAATATTCTGTAGCTTGAAATGACAGCCAACACACAAACGGCATGTTAGAATTGTTTAGTCTTCAAACTACTGACATGCACATCTTCTCATTTAATTCTAAATAACCCGTTAAATTAAGCAGAGCTAACTGTATGTAGTCCATACTAACCACTCAGGAGAAACAGTATATATATATATATCCTTGGCTTACAGAATTCTGTTATGAATTAAATGTGTCTCTCCAAAATTTGTATGTTGAAATCTTAACCCCCGATGTGATACAATTAGGAGGTGGGGGCCTTTGGAAGGTGATTAGGTCATAAGAGTAAAGCCCTCATGAAGGGGATTCCTGTCCCTATAAGAGAGACCCAAGAGAACTCTCTCGCCCTCTTCCTGCTCTGTGAGAGTACAGTAAGAAATGAGCTATCTGTAGCTGGGAAGAGGACCCTCACCAGAATTCAACTATGCTGGCACCCCAACCTTATACTTCCATGCTTCAGAACTGTCAGAAATTTTCTTTGTTTATAAGGCACCCAGTGTGTGGTATTTGTTACAGCAGCTTGACAAATCTCATCTTTTCCTTGTTCATATTTTTGTTGAGGACCAAAATATTTATTCATTGTACTTATTCTGTACTAAATCTCTTTTCTTGCTGAAAACTGATTTATGCCTAAATCTATGTTAATTAAGAACAAAAAGTTATTATCCTTATGGCTCTAAATAGCAATTTTAGATCAAATCTTACCATCGTGAACATCAGTGGCTCCTTAAATAATGCCTATTAATTCTTATTTGACTACTGCTTAAATTTGTGGAACAAAAATGGTACAGGTTAATTATTTTGATATATAGAACTTATTCTTAGTATTTGTGGTAAAAGAATATTACTTATTCTAATATTCCACACCAAGAGTGCTTAGTAAATATTTGTTGAATGATCTCCATGTCCAGTAGTATGCAAAGTGTGACAGGAATACAGAATATCAGAAGGAATTTATCCCAGAAAAGAATGCACCTGCATAAAGCAGCCAGCAATACAAGAGAAGATAATACAGCATTAAGCTCTATCTGTGATCTAGAACCTCAAAGAAGGGAAACAGAATGAGATGAAGAAGCTCCAGATGAGCTCTGTGGAAGGTAGAGGGAGAACATGAGCTGGGGATGGCAGACATTAGGTGGGAAAAACAGGGTGTTACAAGTGAAGGGAAGAGCAGGAACTAAGGGAGAAATAAGCATGCCTCCTAGCTCACCTCTCAATCCCTGAATAAAGGAATGGCATGACTGTTATCTTCCCACCCCAACCACAGATGACTGGACTAAAGTGGGCTCCTGAATCCAGGATAGTCAGCCCATTAGCAGATCAGCAACTACCGAGTGTCCTGGTACACAAAGTTCTTCCCAAACAGAAATGATGCCCATTAGCCAGATCAATGTCTCATTCATGAATCTGGACTGGGAACCACCACATGGTGGTGCTGGTGGAAGGTGATGCTGAAATGACATACAGAAAGAACACATGGGGACCACTGATAAATTAATATTATGACCAAGAAGAAACTATACAGGACAGTGGTTATCAACCAGAGGCAATTTTGCCCGACATGGGTCATTTGGCAATGCCTAGAGACTTTCTGACAGTCACAACTGGGCAGTGAGGGAGTGAAGGTACACTACTGGCATCCAGTGGGGAGGGGCGAGGGATGCTGCTAAACAACCCACAGTGCACAGAACAGCCCTCACCACAAAGAATTATCCAGCCTAAATTATATCAATAGTGCTGAGGTTAAAAAACACTGCAGTAGAGGGAAAAAATGCAAACACATGACAGATTCCCACACTTTATAATGCATAAGAACTGCCTAGGGATTAAATAGCAGATTCCTGGGCTTCCTGTGCCAATCACAGAGCTGGAGTGGAGCCCAGGAATCTTGGGTTTTAACCACTACTCCGGGTATTCTGATGCTGGAGGGGCTGAAGCACCGTACTTGAGTGTGAGACACGAGTGGTATGTACAGGTAGAGGACGAGAGAAGCTGTAGGAACAGGAAACCACCTGCCACCGAGGAACTCCCAAACAGTCCACTCCCTAGGGCTGCCTGAATCCTTCCAACACCTAAGCACCACTCCAGGCCTGCATGGCTTACAGGTGGCTATTTCTTCTCCTTCACTGCCATGTGAAGGTGGCCTGAGGAAGGGCAATCCTCAAATTAAGAGTTTAAGACACAACCACAGCTGCAGATGTCCTACAGAACCTCCAACAGTTCAAATTCTCCCCTGTTGACACCTTGAGGGCTGAACGCTCCTGACTCTTCTGGAATCCTCAGTCTCCCTCACCGTCACCTCTCTCCGCTGACCCTCGTCCCCAAGGTTCTCTTTCTGACCTCTAGTGCCTCACTCATCTTGTGTACTCCCACAGACTACCTATCACCCACCATGTCCAAATCCGTATCTTCTGTCTTGATTCCACACCGCATTTCTAACTGCTCGTGGGCACAGCCACATGCACTTATCTCTTCCAACACCACCACTCCTCCTCTACCAGCTCCCCACTCAATGACAAGTCCACTCTTCCGGCTGCTCAGGCCTGGAGCCTGAGAATGTGACTGCTTCTCTCCCACTCCCCATTTTCTAGGCAGTTATCAAGTGCGTTACAAACACCTCTGCCTGTCTCCCCTATCCCCATCCCCACTGCCCTGTCACTACATTACCTGATGCCTATTGTCACAGTGACCTCAAGGTTCATCCTCCTGCCCCTTTCTTCCTTCTACAGGCTTAAAACTTTGCTTAAGATTCTTGAAGAATAACTTGAAGATTCTGAAGGCTTAAATAGTCTTTGGCCAAGCACATCAGAATTCAATTATGCTGAAGGGCAATCAAAATAAAATCAGTTTTAGATTCTTTCCTGTTTAGGCCCTTCAAAGGGGACTAATAAAATGTGATACAGAAAAGAGAGGGCAAGGACCAGAAAAAAACGAACTTTACTGACTTCACAAATGTACATAAAGGTCATTTTTGTGCAGTTATTCTTGCCCCAAATAGAGGCAAAAGCAGTTCTGCTTAAAATTACTTATAATTAGTTTAAACACTAGTCTTCACTTTAAAGGAGTTTTATTCCCAGAAGATCTGCTAATTATGAACTGCTGCCACAGTGCACACTACCCTGGCTCATGCTAAAATGTCCCTCCCTATAGGTTTGGCACAGGTATGGTAACTTGGGGTAACAAAGAAAAGGAAGGGGCCTTCATCAGGGCACTCCCACACCAAGTTATCTGTCTCTGTTCCACTGCCTAAGGCAGGTGACCTGTTCTCCAAGTGCCATAGCCTAGTTCTACTTGCCTTTCCTCCCAGGCCCCAGTTTCCAAATGGTGGCGGGAATATTTACAACCAGTTTCCCCAGTTTTAACCTTGAAGAAGTGAATGGACACAGAGTGCAGAGTATGCTGTTTCTAGACAGCAAGCCCCCCTTGACTTCCTACCCGAGGGAGGATCTGACTGAAATCTTTTTATGACCCAACTGTGTTTGGTCTATGAAAAGTCATAAAAGCCTACTTCTTGTTGCTATAGAATTACAGGAATTAAGCCAGGTGTGGTGGCTCACAGTTATAATCCTAGCACTTTGCGAGTACGAGGTGGGAAGATCACTTGAGGTCAGGAATTTGAGACCAACTGGAGCAAGAGTAAGACCCCATCTTTACAAAAATAGAGAAATTAGCCAGGCATGGTGGCACATGCCTGTAGTCCCAGTTAATCAGGAGGCTGAGACAGGAGGATCACTAGAGCCCAGGAGTTTGAGGCTGTAGTGAGCTATGATTATACCACTGCACTCTAGCCAAGGTGACAGAGCAAGACCCTGTCTCAAAAAAAAAAAAAGAAAAGAAAAGAAAAGCTATGTTCCACTCAGATAAATTACTGGAGCAAAAATATAAAACAAAACACAACACAATACTACCCAAAAGCACAGTTCTTCCAATACCTATCAACAGGTATTAGAGTACCTAATATGTAAGGCTAGGTGATTTACATATTTAATACAAAACTGTTAATGATGATGATGGAGAACAACATAAAGAATGAACTGATCCAGACCACAAGGAAGTTATAATTAAGAAGATAAACACAAGGCTGGGCACGGTGGCTCACACCTGTAATCCTAGCACTCTGGGAAGCTGAGTCAGGTGGATCGCTCAAGGTCAGGAGTTTGAAAGCAGCCCGAACAAGAGCAAGACCCCATCTCTACTAAAAATAGAAAGAAACTAATTGGCCAACTAAAAATACACAGAAAAAAAATTTAGCCAGGCATGGTGGTGCATGCCTGTAGTCCCAGCTACTCTGGAGGCTGAGGCAAAAGGATTGCTTGAGCCCAGGAATTTGAGGTTGCTGTGAGCTAGGCTGACGCCACGGCACGCTAGCCCGAGCAACAGAGTGAGATTCTGTCTCAAAAAAGAAAAAAAAATAAAGAAGATAAACACATTTTATCTATTACCAAGTTATTTAAAAATAATAAATTCTACACATAAGCTTATTAATAAGCACAAATAGTTCAGAGAAGGAAGAATTATGTGTGTAAGACAATAAAAGAGAACATTATATCTACAGAGACCACAAGTATCCTCATGATGGAAATGGCTAATGGCCAAAATCAGCCTTTATTCTCCTTTCTCTCCTACAGCACTTGATACTGACCACCACCATCTTCCCCACACCCAGGGTTGACTTCTATAATGACCCTACATCCATCTCAACCATGGCTCCTCACTCCCTATCCTACCTCTTCCTCTTCTGTGGACGTTGCTCTAAGGTTCACCCTCTATATGTGCTCTCATTGTCCAATGAGAATGCAGCGACTCTCACTGTTTCAACTATTCCTTGACAAAATGTTCCAGGCTAGAGTAACATTACAAGTTAAATAGTAGTAAAATATATTTGGGAAAATTGAATAGGGTCAAATGACAAAACCTCTGCCTTGTATGTTTGTCTGTTAATGTTATAATAAAGGAAGATGTTTAAAGATTAGTTCAACAATAGACTAAAATGGGAAGAGATCAAGGAAAAGAAGATTATCTAGAATGCAAGTGTATGAATGGTATGGAGAAGACTGCAAGTAAAAGTGGCAAAAATGACCACACAAGGAAACAAAAAGCTACCATGTTTCCCTGAAAATAAGACCTACCCATAAAATAAGCCCTAGCAGGATTTCTAAGCATTTGCGCAATATAAGCCCTACCCCAAAAATAAGACTTAGTAATGGGCATGGCTACGCAGCATATCTGCACAATCCATGCATTTCGTCGAGGAGCAGTAAAGAAGACAAGCAGCCCTTCTCATCTGCCCCATGAGAGCTCTATTGCTCGACATGAGAGATGTGGGCCAATGGTTCTAAAGGAAATACAGTCACAAGAAATTCAGGATGGAATTTGGGGTTTGGAGAGTTATGATGATGTTCCAGAAGAAGACAACTTAACCATATTTTAATAAATGTAGATTGTTGTACCATACTTAAAAAAAATAACACATCCCTGAAAATAAGCCTTAGGGTGTCTTCTTGAGGAAAAATAAATATAAGACCCTGTCTTATTTTCGGAGAAACATGGTAGTAAAGGGGAAAAGATAAAAGGTAAATTCTTTCTTCAACTCTACTTTTTATTCTCAAAATATTTTATGTACGTAGTAATGTAATATGAACAGCATGACGCCAATCACATAAAGTCCTCCATACAAAATAAGAAAAGGAAGAGGAAGGGGAACAAGGGGAGAACAATCAAAATGTAAGCAACCCAGATGGAGCACAGCAGCTATAACTGCTATAGCCTATACAATCCCCAGCATTGTGGGAGACCAAGGTAGGAAGGAGAACAGCTTGAGGCCAGGAGTTTGAGATCAGCCTGGACCACATATTGAGACCCCATGTCTACAAAAAATTTAAAAATTAGCCAGGCATAGTGGTGTGTGCCTGTAGTCCTAGCTACTTAGGAAGTTGAGGCAGGAAGATCACTTGAGCTCAGAAGTTTGTGGCTACAGTGAACTATGATCATGCCACTGCACTACAGTCTGGATGACAAAGCAAAATCTGCACTCAAGCAAAAAACAATGTAGGCAACCCCTAACTTACAAAAACTTAACTTTTGATTACTCCTTCCCTACTTTTTATGACTTTTCTTATGATAGATTGGACCTTCATCACAGTTATAACCATATTTGTAAACATTTTATTATCTGTATCCCATTCATATGCCAAATTTCAGTACCTTTGCTGACCAATCCTCCCCACCTCTTCTCCCCCATGGTCAAGGACCATTTCATCAGGAATATTACTCTGAACCAATATTTATTCCCTATTTCTCACAAAACCTAGCACAATATAGAGAATATAGATGCTGCTGACCTTAGTTAATTAAAACATACAAACATAAACAACTTCGTGAAAATCTGAGTCTAGGATAAAAACAGGCCAGATGTGCTGCCTCACGCCTGTAATCCTAATACTTTGGGAGAGTCACTTGAGGCCAGGAGTTCAATACTAGCCTGGGCAACACAGCAAGACCTCATTCTCTAACAAAAAAAATTTTTTTGAAAAAAAAAGAAAAACAAAAACTAAATGAAAGTTAATGCTAAAGTTAATCCTTTTTTAAAAAAAAGTTTTTAAGCTAAGTGTAGTGGTTCCTGCCTGTAATCCCAACTATTCGAGAGTAGGAGAATCACTTGAGGCCAAGAGTTCAAGGCTGGAATGAGCTACGATTGGTGCCACTGTGCTCCAACCTGGGCAACAGAGCAAGACCACACATCTCTTTAAAAAAGAAAAAATTTAAAACTTTGTTTAAAATTTAAAAAATTAGTGCTATATTACCAAACGCTCCTGAGGTAAAATAAAAACTATGCTAAAATGCCTTGACTTACATACATAGATTACAGAATGCTACTCACAGCAGAACCACTCTAACGCCTCCCACTACCAAACAGAACATGATCTATGCTGAGATTATGTAACTGTCCGAAGGGTGGCCCCCAAGGTCCTTAGGGATAAAAGATTAAGAGTCAAAGACTTGAGACAGTCAAGGAAGTGAAGGTTAGAACCCTTCTGGGATGAGTTGGTCAGAACGACCGAAATGTCAGAAAAGATGTGTCAGTAAATGAAAATTCAACATACCATCCAAGTCAAAAGGGTACTACTACCAAGAGAGCCGTGAGACTTGCCATCTTCCTCAAGAAAGCCTGGGCCAAGGAGCCAGTGCTGGTCATGTCCTTAACCATCAGAAGCCTCGCTGTAATTCTGCCCCCACTCAGTCCCTACTCCAAGTACTCTATCATGATGAGCAAGGCCACGCCCTACAACTGCCCAGTGCCCCTCCAAGATGATGGGAACATGCCCAACGTGCACAACCACTCCCAGGAACCCCAGGGGCCCAAGACTGTAGTGGCTGAAGAAACTGTGAGCACCTCCATTGACAGGGAGAAGGCTCCCCCTCCCCCATGACCAATAAAAATGTGAAAACCAAAAAAAAAAGGGTACTGTTACAAAGAAAGGGGTGATTCTAAGTAACTTTCAAAAAGAAAACAAGCCTTAAAATGAATTTTTTATGTCTGCCTTATTTTTATGATAAGTGTGACTACTTAGTTTAAATGATGCCTTTTGAGATAATTGCAGATTCACATACACCATTAAGAATTACAGAAAACACAGTATACTCTTTACCCAGTTCCCCCCAAATGTTAACATTTTGCAAAACTATAGTACAATATTACAACCAGGATATTGGTATTGATACAGTTAAGATGTAAAACTTTCCATCATTACAAGGATTCCTCATGCTGCTCTAATATAGTCACCTCCAGTTGTCTCCTGCCCCTAAGTCCTCCTTAAATCCTGACAATTGCTTATCTGTTCTCTATTTCTATAGTTATCTCTATTTCAAGATTGTTAATATAAATGAAACTGTAGTGGAAGTTTTCCCTTTGTCCTCTGAAGATTCACTGCAAATTAACTGACAGAAAACAGAATAATAAGAGAAAATGTACAAATTTTTAACATTCTTAGCATGGGGAATCACAGGAGAATGACTACCCCTGAATCATCATTTACATAAACATTTCCTTCCCATTCTTCCCCCAAACATGTTAACAATGTATGTTAAATGTTTATTTAGCCCTTCATTATGACTAGTTAGTAAAGCAGAAAGCAAATAGCAACAAAAATGCATTCTAAAAATAAATCTAATTTTCTAATTTAAAAAAGGAAGTTTAAAATCACAGTGTTTGGTTAAATTTGAAATGTAAAAACATCCAAAGTGTCTCTCATCATTAACTTACCTGAAGAGGCATATATTTTCTTACTATCTGAAGAGAATGTGGATGCCGCAACCATTCCATTAATTTTCATGCTACCAATCAGTTCTTTGGTCTAAAACAATAAATGTTACTTATCAAATTGTTAGGAGGTACAATCACACTGTGTAGAATAAAAACAATCTAGTTCTCTATTTTCTAGCACCTATTCAACTTTGGTTTTCCCTACATTCAAAGGTTCTCCTCCCCCAACTGCCCACAACTTCTCCCAAAGTCCCACCTGTGTGCCCCTACTCAAGATGCATATTTAAGGACTCACTGAGTTATGGTTCAAGATTATCCCTACACGAATGTCTTATCTGAGAAGAACAAGCAACAACTAATAATGCTTCACCTTCACTGATAGCAAATGAAGATACCCAGCGACGCCATTTATGAGCAAGAAAGACCCATCTAGGGAGACTTCGAAGCTCCTCACTATCTTCTCTTTCAAACCTAAGAAAGGAGATGAGATTAAATACGGTTTAATGTGGTTTTCAATAAAGCTATCTTCTACTAACAATTGAGTTTCTTACCTTTTAAAATATGTAAGTGCCTCAAATTAAACAGTATTTGAGGCACTTGGCTCAGAACATGAATAAGTCTGACTTCATGCATCAGTGAGTTTGACCCAAACATAAGATAAGTACAAAGTGCTTAGCAAACCTTTCCGGTCTTGGTTAGCATTCCCCATTTTAATTGCAGGCCAGAGATTCAGCTCTCCATACAGTAAACATATTAACCAATTTTCCAAATGTAAGCATTAATATAATTAACTAAAAGGATAAATTATACTTTTTTGTTACAAAGTTCATCACTAGAAGAGAAATACACTAACATTAGAGACAGCCAAAAATAGAATAATACATATAAACTAGTTCCTGGCCACCTACTAAGCACCCCATGATGAACAGGAGTCTAACCTTTAACTTTTTGAGTCCAAAAAAAATTTCACAACTTATCAGTATATTTAAGAGTTGATCAGCTTTTCAGAGATAGGTAAAGAAACCAGAGTCAACTTATTTATTTACAAAGGGACATGTTTCTTTTTCCATGCCTGAAAGGTTCATATTGACTATACAGGAGACTCCTTCTGATATCAAAATGCTTAGAGAGTCAAATTACTCATTAAGAAGTTGCCTAATTGAAAGGATACAAAAGAATGGGTACAACAGGCTACCTTAAGGAAAGGGAAGTAGGTGGCCAGGGAGATGGAGCATAAGAGACTTTTCACTCTATACCCATTTGTACATATTAGATTCTTGCACCATGTGAATGTATTGCCTAGTCAAAAAATATATATTAACACATATATTTCAAAAATTTTAAGTTGCTAAATTAAAATATTAATTAGAGAAAAAAGATTTAGAAACATCTGGTGAAGTACCCTTGTTCCCCTAAAAGGAAAATGCTAGCTGAGGCTCCTACTTCACATGACTACAAACCAGACATCTCACTCTAGTCCTGCCTCCCAGGGGCCACACCCTAGTTTCCTTGGTTGGACTCATGTTTCCCATTATCAGTTCAGACACATATTCCCAATTACTGGGGTTACTTTTGCTGATGACCAGTCTCCCTCTATGAAGGGTACTTTGCTATTCCTATTAAGTGTTTTTGTTTTGTTTTGTTTTGTTTTTCTGAGACAGATCTCACTCTGTTGCCTGGGCTAGAATGCCATGGCGTCAGCCTAGCTCACAGCAACCTCAAATTCCTGGGCTTAAGCAATCCTTCTTCCTTAGCCTCCCAAGTAGCTGGGACTACAGGCATGTGGCACCATGCCCAGCTAATTTTATACATATATATATATATATATATGTATATTAATTGGCTAATTAATCTTTCTATTTTTAGTAGAGATGGGGTCTCGCTCTTGCTCAGGTTGGTTTCAAACTCCTGACCTTGAGTGATGTGCCCGCCTCAGCCTCCCAGACTGCTAGGACTACAGGCATGAGCCACCACACCTGGCCTCCTATTAAGTGTTTTAATCCCAAATTCTGGATAAACCTTATGTACTGACTATATACAGAAGAAGTTCCAAACATAAGGAAAATATCATTACATAACAAGGCAGGAATGGGCAGCTAGTTCCAGCATAGTACAAAGCTACAGCTGGAAACTCCTCCAGACCTAACCCTAATGTGGCACAGTGTCAGGCAGTGGGAATGTGAAAATGAAACTAAGTGTTCACCTTGGAGCCCACTGCTGGGCACCACTACAGTCCTGTAGGAACACAGACGGCATGGGCATCATCAGTGTAACAGTGAACAAGGTCCCAACATATTGCACAGGACCTGTATGAACACAGACCCAACTTGCACCAAGAGGCAATATGCCAGAGGACTCACTACATGGCCCTCTGCTCTCTCTGCCTGCAGGTGACAAAAAGACCTTACTCTTTCGGCCTACATAAGCCTGCTATTTTCGGACAATTGGGGGGGGGAGGTGTTTGTCCTAAAGAAGGAAGTAATAAGACTTCCAAAAAGAACAGGTAGCTGCTTTAGCAATTAATTGGAAAAATAAGAAAAATATAACTGTATTTTCACCCAAAGTTTGTAACGCATTATACTATTTATATGTAGCATTTTGCTTTTAGCTGCACAAAAAATAGTGACAATAAATGCTAATATCAGTATTACAGTTGTTCTTTACAAATGTTGGACCTTTCGAAATAGGAGCCAGGTAAAATGTATAATATAACCTAGGAAAATAAATTACAATGCTTTAAAGATGTCAGATGTACATCTTTTTACATTGATAGATGAGATTTTCAGGTCAAATGCTGAGCAACTGGTAAAGGAAGGAATGAGCAATAGCCAAATTCCACTGGATGGCAAGTGGCCTGATTGCAATCAGATGGATTGCATGCTGTTCCTAACACTGACAGGGGTTACCATTTATTAAGCATTTACCCATATAGCACGTGATAAGTTACAAGCTTTAAAAAAAAAATCATCTTTTAACATATATGACCCCCTGAGTTTCCAGAAACAGAAAACGGAGGCTCAGACATTACCATATCATATCATAATGCCTAACATCAAAATGGCTACCTGACCAACCACTGATTTCTGAGTGGTCAAATTCCTTTTTTTTGTTTATTGAGAACTGTCCTCAATAATAAACAAAAACTACTGTATGGTTCTTAATTTTTCTTGCACCATGGACCCTTTGGCAGTCTGACAAAGCATACAGTCCCCTTCTCAAAATGATGGTTCTTCAAAACATTCGTAACTAAAGGAAATGCTAAGGGTTAACAAACATAAAGATGTAATGTTTTTCCCATGCAACTTCATAGACCCCTGAAATCTATCCAGAATTTTTTAAGAGTCTGTAGCCCCCACATCATGAACCCTAGGTTATGAACCCTGATAGGTTAATGAATGCACCATGTGCATCAATCTTGTATTCTTCAGTTTTCAAACTAGCATTTATGATCACCAAGAGTTTGCACACACATAAGGTTTATATGTCCTAAAGAGTCAGCAATTTTCCCCCTTAATGTCCTTAATTAATTTTTTGAGTTATTTATGGTTCTATAATGATGAAAGACTGAGAACAGTGCTCAATAACATACCACCACAAAAAGAAATACATTTACCATAACTATAATTATTACCAACTTATGCTTATTGAGGAAAGAAGAAAAGGGAAAATACTAGGAAGGAAAGATGAATGCTAGCCTCAAAAGCAGCTAGTGACTAGATACACATCCTGCACACCTAGCAGAGATTCAGGGTAAAGATCACCGACTATATCTTGGCCACCCCTTGGTATGCTTGTTCCCAAGAAGATACAAAAGCCTAGTAAGGGCTAAAATTCATTCCTTTTGATTAGTGAAATGCATCTAAAAAGAATTAATACATATTGCTTTATATTCCAACATGAGAAGATGGTTTAATGCTTTTCAACAAAGTGAGCTCCACAGACCATCAGCATCAGCTGAAAGCTTGTGAGAAATGCAAAACCAAGACCACCTAAGACCTACAGAATCAGAATCTTCAGCTTACAAGATCCCCAGGTGATTTATGTGTATATTAACTTCCGACGATGCCCTAACTTGAAGCATGATTAGATAAACCAAGAATCTATTTGGAAAAAATCATTAAAGGCATCAGGGAACACAGGAAAGATAAGATGGGAAATGCTGAAAATAAACATCATAAATGTTTTTAAAGTTGGCCTTATTCACTTTCAATCACTAGTAAAAAAAATGGTTGCACAGAGCTCCTCTTGTCCCTTCCAGGCGCACACACGTGCAGTTTAATAGGGAGACCACCAGTGAGTTGTGGCGTATGCCAACACTACCTCCCAAGATCTTGAGCCAGCCAACTCCATTACAAGGGCTCTGGTTCCCAAAGGATTCATGAAGGTGGCAGTACATTTTAGAGTAACAGGGGTTGGGAAACAGAGGGGAAGAATGGGTAAGGGAGAGGATAAATTTTCACCTGCTAAAAAGTGTGTTGGTTTTTTTTAAGTAGTTCAATCTTTAAAATACATTAAGTAGCCCCCCCCCCCGCAAAGCAGTGCTTTATTCCCTTTAAACATAAACGAAAATTCTATTATAACAAATACTAAAACCAGAGGATATCCAAATTTCCTGATGATCGGACAGGTGGAAACAGTTTATCCAAAGAAGTAGACCTGAGGTCCTCTAGCTCCCTGGCTCATGCTCTTTCTGCTGCAGCAACTGCTAACTTTACAGACAAGCATTTGCAATTCTCTCCTGGTCTAGGGGATATATATTTCCATAAGTGCTCAATAAAAAAGTCAGTTTACTGGTTTCATTCAAACATACTATATCTCAATTAACACAATGACATTTTCCAAATACTATATTAAGAATCTTGTGGGGTGAAATAAGTGGTTGTAAACAATGTTAAATAAACTCAGCTTAAGGGCTATGATGGACTCCATGTTCAACAGAAATCTTACCTCTCACTTGATGCACAGGAATTAACTTTCCTGCTAGCATGTCGTAGACATAAAGAACCTTGCTGTGGGTACTCGTGGCTAAAACCTCTTCTCCATTAGCACTAAAACAAGCCTTAAAGATTGGAAACCTTTCCAAATATATGCTCTGGATTTTAGGATTTGTTTTTCCATCAACCTATAAGGAAGTACAAAACATTTCTTTTGGTTATTTCCATGGACTCTGGTAGCATACATTTTTCACTACAAGTCTTCATTTCAAAATGCATACCTGAAACAGTGATACAGCATTATCTAATCCAGCAACCATCACAACTTGTGCACAAGGATGAAACTGCACAGATGAGATTCGAGCAGTAGTAGGACGTTCAGCATTAGCATGTTGGCAGTTCTTCATCTATGGAAAAATAAAGCTGGAATTTTATCAATTCAAATGGTTAACATTTTTTTAGAGCGTGACGACAAGACATCATAGTTTACAAATGCAGAAGAAAGTGCACTGGAATGGTAATGAAAAGATCACAGCTCTGGCACCAACTGGCAAGTCACTTTACAAGAATCTTCCTTATCACCTTTCAAATGACGGAATTATATCATTAAAGTCCTTTCCATATCTAGAAGTCTAAATTTAAGTATTCTTGGAGCACTAGTATAGTCATTTCCCCAAGATACATCCATTTGGGTTAAGAGATTTTTCACTTCTGGGGAAATTTTACTCAAAACTCTACTTTGGCATCTTCACATTTCATGGCACAAACACAACAGGCACTGTGGCTGTTCCCATAGTCCTACTGTTGGTACAGATTGCTTACTTTCTTCTCTCAGGGTACTAGTTTAATGGTTGCTTGTTTAATGGTTATCTCATGCATCACTTAAATTATTTTCAGTTATATTTTCTGTTTTTACAGGTTAAATAAAGTATTATATGCATTTTTTTGTAACCACTGAAGTTTTTATGGTAACTACATTTTCGATGGAAGTGAATTCACCCTGTGAGGAGCTGAATAAAGTGTCCTCCTAAGGTGGGAGGAGACAGAATCACTCTGTATCCTAGTTATTTACCATGACAGGTTCCCTTGCCCCATCTAAATACACATACCACTGTGTAACTGAAAAAAATATCTATGTCACAGAGAGATCGATTAACATGACAAACATTTAACTAAAGCACCACACCGGTTAGGGACTTGGTTAGCACAATGAACAAGCTGGACACAGTGATGAGTCAGGAAGTAACTAACGTAGGCTGCTTTAGAGAAGGTCCTAGGTTGCCGTTGGAGCAGAAAGGTACAAATGAGCTAGCCATTAGCAGTGCTTGAAGGACAGGCAGAAAGGAAAAGCAAGAGTAAAGGTTCAGAGGTAAGAAAGGACCCAGCACATTCAAAACACAGAAAAAGGAAGTAGAAAATAAGGGGAAAGAGGTCTGAGACAAGGCCAAGGATGTAGGCAAAAGCCAGATCATGAAGGGTAGTGTAGACTATGATAGGAAATTCAGTAGTTTTGAAAAAGCAACAAAAAGGGGCATGACCTGATGTTTTATTTTTAAAAGATCCCTCTAGCTGCTACGTTAAGAATGGTTTAGGAAGAGATAAAGTGGAAGTAGAGACCAGTCACAAACTACTGCAATATGCTGGGTAAGAGATGACAGCAGGCTGGACTAAGCTGATGCCAACGAAAATGAGAAATGCAAAAGGAGAAATCAAATAGGATTTCTAGAATTCCTGGGAACATAATTTAGTACCTTTTGATCATTTCTGCAAAAGAAAAAGAACTCTAACATAAATATTTACCAAAGCAAAATGACAGCAAATATATTTAACCCCACAGATGATAGGAACCCATGCATCTGTAACTAGGAAGCAGACTGAATTTCAGAGGTAAATAGGTGGATAGGTCCCAACTTCACTGACTCTCACCTTCAAGATTCCTCTTGGAAGAGAAGCTGATGTGGATATGAAATTCCCAGTCCTTTGCAACAAATCATCTTCATCCTCTTCACTTTCATCTAAGTCAAACAAACCCACAAGGCTGATCTTTAAAATCAATGAGATGGTCCTTTAACCTACCCCAAACTTCTGTATTTCCAAATTCAACTCCTCTCCCAGCCTCCCAATTGCAATCACTTTTTTAAAGCTGCAATTGGTAAAAGCAAAAACAGCAAACATGCTTAAAGGAGAGGAAAAAGATGAACACAACTTAACATCTACAGTTAAAATCAAAGTTTGACTCTGGAATGAAAGACTAACACATACACAGATGGTTACTAAAACAAGATGAAGTAAAATAAAAGTTTAAAACCAGCATTTCATTTAAAAAGAGCCAACTTGTATAATTACGGCAAAAGTGGCAATAGGGTGGACAACAGATCTAGCTTAACGACTCACACAAAAAAGAACTAGAACTTTCAGCTGAATGAAAGATTAATGTCAAATTGTGTATCAGAACTTCAAAAAGATCTAATAGGGCTGCTTTTCCAGTGGAGATGATTGGTGATTCTAGTAGAGACAGCTGAGAAGCTAAGCAGTCTTTTTAAAACACTTGGCTAACAAGGCAAAACTAGCACCAAAAGGCCCCCTCAACATCTTGAAGGGGTCCAGTAAATCAACAGGCTTTTTGTACTGGGGCCACAAAAAGCTACACTTAGGATGAAGGGCAAAATCAAAGAATTATAAGAAAATCTTCCAAAAACTGAAACCTAGCGTTGAACTCTCACAATTCCTCATTTGAATAAAAATGTTCTTGGATTGTTAGTGCCCTCTGCCAAACTATCTACCTAGAAACAAACATACAAGTCATCATCCTAGATCTAATTAATCTACATTATTTTCCATATACAATGTCCAGCACTCAATAAAATGTAACCAGGCAAATACTGACGAGATAAAATAACTTGACTAAAAACCAAAAGGAAAAATGAGACAATCCTCAAAGGAACTAGACAATGGAGTTATCAGATACAAACTTTAAAAATACTATGTTTGATATGTTAAAAGAGTAAATGAAACAAGTTTCATGGCCAGGCACGGTGGCTCACACCTATAATCCTAGCACTCTGTCAAGGCGGGCGATTGTTTGAGCTCAGGAGTTCCAGACCAGCCTGAGTAAGAGCGAGTCTCCGTCTCTACTAAAAATAGAAAGAAATTAATTGGCCACCTAAAAATATATAGAAAAAATTAGCCGGGCATGGTGGCACATGCCTGTAGTCCCAGCTACTTGGGAGGCTGAGGCAGAAGAATTGCTTAAGCCCAGGAGTTTGAGGTTGCTGTGAGCTAGGCTGACACCACGGCACTCTAGCCTGGGCAACAGAGTGAGACTCTGTCTCAAAAAAAAAAAAAAAAAGAATAATGAAACACAAGATTCAAAATTGAGCCAGAGAATTAGAATATTAAAAAAAGAACCAATGGAAACTCTAGAACTGAAAAATACAGTAATTAAAATTAAGCCCCCAGTAGATGTTTTGATAGTATTTCAAAATTAGCTGTAGGCTTTGGGCATGGTGGCTCATGCCTGTTATCCTAGCACTCTGGGAGGATCACATGAAATCAGAAGTTCCAAGATCAGCCTGAGCAAAAGCGATACCCAGTCTCTACAAAAAGTAGAAAAATTAGCTGGACATGGTAGCGTATACCTGTAATCCCAGCTACTCAGGTGGCTGAGGCAGGAAGATCGCTTGAGCCCAAGAGTTTGAGGTTGCAGTGAGCTATGATGATGCCACTGCACTATAGCCGGGGCAACAAAGCAAGACTCTGTCTCAAAAAAAAAAACAAAAAACAAAAAAAACAAGAAAGACAGACGCAATATTTGAAGAAATAATAGGTGAGAATTTCCAAAATTTACAAAAGGCATCAAACCAGTTCAAAAGCACAATGAGGTCTAAGCAGAATACTAAGCAAGTTAAAATGACTGGGAGGGGGAGGGTAGACATAAATAAAACAGCAACAACAAAACAATCCACATTAATGAATTGCTGTTGAATTTCAGAGGTGTGTGATGTTAGTCTTGTGGTTATGTATAAAAGGGAGTACTTTTCTTTTAAAAAAAAATCAATGAAGTATTTACAGATAAAAATAACACATTGGAGAAAACTGTGAAGCTGAGTTCTAGTCACCATTCTGCCAACAGTAAATATACCTTGACAAGTCACTTTATCTCTTTGAACCTCCCTCATCTGTAAAATGAAGGTACTAAATTAGGATAGGATATCCCAGATGATGGCAGGCTGGATAACTATTGACTTAATTCATTATCTTTTTCTCCTAGGCACAAAGCCAAAGTACACTTCCAGGCATCCTCTACAGTTAATATGGCCTTGTGATTGAGTTCTGGCCAATAAAATGTAGGCAACAGTATCATGTACCACTTCCAGCAAAGGCCAACAGAAATCTCCTTTGGATGAGCCTTCCTCTCCTCCCCATTAAGCCAAGTGGATGTCAACTTCTTGTGCAACTTTGTAAGATCTGACCTAAAGATGGCTGAACCTCTATAAACTTGGTCTCTAAAGTAGAGCATCACTTTCTCACCACCCCAATTTTATGTACATGGAAAAAACAACTTCAACTGGATTAAGCCACTGGAATCTGGGAGGTTTTATTTCAACAGCTAGCATAATATCTACAATTACATGAATCTAAATTGCTGCATTTCTCTCTAAAATGGATGATAAAATTGCATTTCATCCAGGAGGGCAAACTGGTGACCTAGAGCCTAGAAATATGTTATAGAAAAAATGGTCAAAGGAACAAGGAATGTTTAACATGTTAAAAAACAAATGTGGAAAGAGATTTCCCAAATAACAGAAAGAATGTTAAGATAATCTGTATATATTCAAAAGGTAGGACTAGAGATTTCAAAACAGCAAAAAGTTTCTAACAGCTCCTAAAGAAAAGCTGAGAAGGGGAAGAAATAGTCTAGTAAAGACTACGACACTATTTGATATATTAAGCAGGATAACAATGTGGAAAAGATTCTTGCAATAGACAAAAGCCGGGCTTCATCACTGAGATTCCTTCAACTTCTAAAAGCATCTGGCTGAAAACCAGAAGGTCAATTTCTACTTAATAACAGATTGAATTTTCTAACAGAATTATATAAACCACTGGCTCCTGGTATGGGCTCCCTGTATTAAACACCATGAAGACTGTCAGGGGTGGGGAGAAAGGAAGGAGAGGTGATAGTGGAGGCAATCAAACAGGTCATCAGAGATTAAGGATGCTAAGGAAGGTGGGGCCTACATTATGTGAGAGGATATACTCCAAACTCCCTAAGGATTTCAAAGGTTAATTCTAAGTCTAAAATTCATAACTCCAAGCACACAGATCAGATCTTGGCTAAGCCACTCATATTTACAATATCTAAACTCAAAAAGATCTAAAAAACATAAAAGTGTTATAGTATGAGCCCAACTTAAAACCTTAAGTTGAAAAACAGATTTTTATGGCTGAGCACAGTGGCTCACGCCGGTAATCCTAGCACTCTGGGAGGCTGAGGCGGGAGGATTGTTTGATCTCAGGAGCTCAAGACCAGCCTGAGAAAGAGCGAGACTCCATCTCTACTAAAAATAGAAAGAAATTAATTGGCCAACTAAAAATATACAGGAAAAATTAAGCTTGGTATGGTGGCACATGCCTGTAGTCCCAGCTACAGGCTGACACAGAAGGATCACTTGGGCCCAGGAGTTTGCGGTTGCTGTGAGCTAGGCTAATGCCACGGCACTCTAGTCTGGGCATCAGAGTGAGACTCTTGTTTCAAAAAAAAAAAAAACAGATTTTATAATGTGACTAATCATTTGGGCTTGATCTGTTATGTGCTCCTTATAAAGAACTCCCATTTCCAAATGGACAGCCAGATTAGCTGCCAATGTCTTCAACAAGAGCTCTGAATCAAAAAGTAACAATACTCACTTTTCCTTAATACTATGCCATAATGCAACTATGGTTCTGTTGAGAAGAAACATAAAATTAATCTACCCTTTATTTCCATTACAGTAGAGAATGCTATTAAGCTGTATACTATTAAAAAAGAGCTTCCTGCAGAGAAATGGCAGACTTTAAAACCAGACATTAAAAAAAAAAAAAAAAGGCAGGCACAATAGTGCACCTGTAGTCCCACCTACTCAGGAGGCTAAGGCAGGAGGAGCCCAGAGCCCAGCAGTTTGAGACCAGCCTGGGCAACATAATGAGAGCCCATCTCAAAAAAAAAAAAAAAAGACATATTTGAAATGCCAGGTTTTAATAAGTCTCATAAAAACACTCAAATAATAATAAAACAGGAACAGAGACTAACTAACTTAAACAGAGATACCAATACTCTGTATCAATACTCACCATCTGAAGAGGTTTTCTGCTTTTTTGTATCTGCCCAGGCAGGTACTCCCCCCATGGCATGCTGAAATCTAAGCAAAAATATAAAAAAAAATTTTGTAACCATTACATGTTCATAAAGCTTGATACATTTAAAGAATATAAATAGATATCACTTCAGAGTATGTAAAGACTCTCTTCCAAAGAAGTTACTATCTTTAAGAATAGAAGTTATTATCTTTACTCACACAGAATAGTTCCAACCTCTTGATATTAGAAACTTTTGAGAACCTCTGTCCACCTATACTAGTCCTGGATACCAGACACCTGAGTATACATTTGTTAATTATTTACATCTAGTTACATGGTTGTCTTATTTGCTCATATCAACACATTCCAGATGTGAGGACTAAGCCAAGAAGTCTCTTTTGAGGTTATAACCAATGCCATAGTACATAGAGCACACAACAGAACATGACTAAAAGAAAATGACCAGATTGGTAAAAATATACAAAGCTTCATCATATATCATTTGAACAATATGGGAGCATTTCACTCTGGAAAAAGTAAGCTTTTAGAGAAGCATGATAGTTGTGTTCTAAAGGATTGGAAGAGGGCAAAGAGTTGTTTTCATTTTTAACGCAAAGGACATACTAGCTCACCAAACTAAGCCCACTAGCCATAAACTAGAAAACTGGACAAAATAAATGAAACTGTTTTCAGAAATTGGACAATAAGCAGCATACCTTGAGATGTGAAATAACAAAGATGAGCCCTATCACCACCTGAAATCTTCCCCTGAAGGCATTTATAAGACCGTGGCATAGAGCCGAGAAAACATCAGACTTGAAAGAGACTGATATGCAATTGGAATTTGAGGAGTATACTGTAGAGCAGGTGTCCTCAAACTACGGCCACATGCGGGTGTTTTTGCCTGTTTTTTTACTTCAAAATAAGATATGTGCAGTGTGCATAGGAATTTGCTCATATTTTTTTTTTAAACTATAGTCTAGTCCTCCAACAGTCTGAGGGACAGTGAACTGGCCCCCTGTTTAAAAAGTTTGAGGACCCCTGCTATAGAGAAGGGAGAAAAAGAGCTCCAGAAATCCGCATAGGAGTTTGATGACAATTCTGCTGAATACAAAGCTGCACACTCAAGGATGACACTCCATGAGGTCGGCAAAGAACTACTAGGGAGCTATAAGTTGCACAATACCAAAGCTCAGACATTTGAGTTCCACAACCCAGAGTGACACGTCTACTGATACACTCTGCTGGACATTCTCCGCAGAGATTCACAAAGGTCAACTCAGCACTGCGCGGCTAACACCTCAGAGTCAAACTGGTACTTTAGACCTGCCCTAACAAAATTTTTTTAAAAGCCTTGAGAGGATCAAATTGATGTGCAAGACATTTAACTGCCTTGCCAAACCAAAAAGCAAAAGGTAACATTCACCCAACATTCTACATTGCCCAGAATACAATCAAAATTAGTAGACATACAAAGCAGCCGAAAAACATGAACTATAACCAGAAGAAAAATCACTCAACAGAAACAAAACGACAGGTATGACAGAATTAGCGCACAAGACTTTAAAATAGCTAACAAATACATTCAAGTATTTAAAGGAAATATAATAAACATAATAAAAGGGCAAATAGAAATAAGCAAAATGGTTTTGAGCTGAAAAGATTTTCTAAAGCTGAAAAAAATGTCTGAAATAATAAATTCAAGTAAATTCAGATTCAACAACCTATAAAATGGGCCAGGCACACAGTGCTCACACCTGTGATTCCAGTACTGAGGCTGAGGCAGGAGGATCCTTTGAGCCCCGAAGTTGGAAGCTGCAGTGAGCAATGATTACACCACCACACTCCAACCTGGGCAACAGAAAAAGACCCTGCCTCTAAAAAATAAATAAAAAATATTATACATTATATTATTTCATTTATATGACATTCTATAAAATGCAAATCTTAAATGACAGAAAACAGACCAGTAGTTGTCAGGGGTTATAAGTTTAAGAGAAAGGGTTGACTATGAAGGCGTATACTACTTTAGAGGGTGATGGCAATGTTCTAATTTCACTATGGGCAAATTATACCACAATAAATCTACTTTTAACCTCTAGGAATGTTAAAAAATGTTATCAATAAAAACAAAAATAAATATATATATACTATATTTTTTTTTTTTTTTGACAGAGTCTCGCTGTTGCCCAGGCTAGAGTGAGTGCCGTGGCGTCAGCCTAGCTCACAGCAACCTCAAACTCCTGGGCTCAAGCAATCCTGCTGCCTCAGCCTCCGCGTAGCTGGGACTACAGGCATGCGCCACATGCCGCTAATTATAATATATATTAGTCTTCAATTAATTTCTTTCTATTTAGATAGAGACGGGGTCTCGCTCTTGCTCAGGCTGGTTTCGAACTCCTGACCTCGAGCAATCCGCCGCCTCGGCCCTCCAGAGTGCTAGGATTACAGGCGTGAGCCACCGCGCCCAGCTAAAAATAAATATATTTTTAAATATTTTAAAAGATCTGGAAGTTTCAGTTGGAGGTGTCAATATAAAACCATTATTTTAAAATATACATACTTCCCCCAGCTCTGTTCAACTAAAAGCCTAGAAGCAGTAAGATCTTTATAATACGGCCAGGCACAACGGCTCACACCTGTAATCTCAGCAGTTTGAGAGGCCAAGATGGGAGAATCACCTGAGGCCAGGAGTTCAATATCAGCCTGGTAGATTTCAGTTTCTTGAGGATAAACTTGTAAAATAAAAATTAAATATAAAGAGTAAAAAAATGAAATAAAAAAAATAAAAAACCAGCCTGAGCAAGAAAGCAAAACACCATCTCTAAAAAAATTTAAGAATTAGCCAGGCATGGTATATAGTCCCAGCTATTTGGGAGACTGAGACAGGATGGTTGTTTGAGCCCAGGAATTCGACATTACAGTGAGATGTGGTCTCATAACATTAACCACATCCAGTGTCCTGTTCTTGAACATCATTTCCCAATAAAAGAAACCAGGATTCCTGGAAAAACATGCTGGTTCTGGGGCAGGAAAAGGCCCAAGTGAGCTTGGGACATCTCTGTGAGACCAAAAAGCTAAGAAACAAGAACACAGGAGACAGGTTGGAAGGGCTCCTATGGGCCGAATCTGGACAATTTGAGCAAAGACTTACAATTATAACAAACTGAATAAAACCCAGGAATCCCAAAGAATACTGATGAAATCCAGTGTTCACCAATACATGTAGAATGAAAAGTAAAACAATGTGCACAGAAACCATACCATGACTTGCAAAATAGAACAAAACATGGCATGCAACATAACCTATGTAAGCTCAAATTGTATAAAGCCAGCTCATGCAGACCACACATTCCAAACCACAGCAGCAATAACTGCACAAACTTCTATTCCAAAGACAATGGTTCCAACAACTTGCCTAATTTAAAAATTCTGACCAATCCCTGCCCAAGACCATAACTACTAACTTCCACCCTGAATCTACCTATATACGTACTTAACCCCAACCCCAAAATCCATAAATATTTTCCCCTAACTCCTCCATAGAAACCGAGACTCTACCAAATTGGTGTTCTATTAAGATAGTCCTTTCTCTTGTTCAGTAAATTTAATAAAAACAACCTTTTACAATCAGCAGGCTTCTGTGATCATCTATGTATGGGGACTTCAACAGATCATCTATGTATGGGGACAACAACGACAGAATCAGAAAAAACACCATTCTGCAACCCCTAATGTAATGCTAAATGTAACATAAAACTGAAATGCTCCAAAATCCAAAACTTTCTGAGCACCAATAAGATGCTCCAAGGAAATGCTCATTGGAGCATATCAGGTTTTCAGATTTGGGACGCTACATCACTAAGTATAATGCAAATATTCCAAATTACAAACTCCGAAAGACTTCTGGTCCCAAGAATTTCGGATAAGGCAGCAGTCCTCAACTTTTCTGGTACCAGAGAGCAGTTTCATGGAAGACAATTTTTCCACAGACTTGGGAGTGGGGGGTGAATACAATGGTTTCAGAATGATTCAAGCGCATTGCATTTATTGTGCACTTTATTTCTATTATTATTACATTGTCACTTGCCACTCACTGATAAGGTTTTGATATGAGTCTGCAAGCAACTGATTTATTATGGTCTCTGTGTAGTCAAACCTCTCTGCTAATGATAATCTGTATTTGCAACTACTCCCAAGCACTAGTTGAATTACCACCTCAGATCATCAGGCATTAGATTCTCGGAAGAAGCATGCAACCTAGATCCCTCACATTCACATGTTGTTTACAATGGGGTTCATGCTCCTATAAGAATTTAATGCTGCTGCTAATCTGATAGGAGGCAGAACTTATGCAGTGATGCAAGTGATGGGGAACAGTTGTAAATACAGATGAAGCTTTACTCGCTGCTCACCTCCTGCTGTGTGGCCTGGTTCCTAACATGCTATGGACCAATATGAGCTATTAAGCTATTAATTTCTTAGGTATGACAATGGTATTGTAAATATGAAGGGAAATAAATAAATAAATATGAAGGGAAAATGTCTTAATCTTAGGCAATTCACCTTGAAGAAATTAGGGGTAAAGTGTTGTGTTACCTGCACTTTACTCCCAATAGACTGAGAAAACATACTCACACCTCAAATATATAAAGCAAGTACGGCAAACTATTAAAAAAACAAACAAACAAACAAAAAAAAAACATTCAACCCAGATGGCAGCTATTTAAACTTCTGAAAATTTTCATATTATAGAATTATGGAAAAGAGATGGTTTACCATATACAAATGAACATGCAAGTAATATTACTGTCTAAAATTTTTCCAAATTTTCTTTCCATTTTTCCAAATTTTTTATCCCTCTGCCCCACAAAATATCGATACGTAGTTGTTGTCTCCAAAAGCAATGCTGTTTCAAAATGGAAATTTGACTATCCAAGATGTTACAGCTAAAGACTAAACAAACTGGAAGAAACCATTGGTTATATACATCTCTTGGTAAATCACATGAAAAAGGACACTTACTCTTCTTTAAGTCTCTTCCGAAGGTTGTCTTTTGAAAGTTTACCTTCACTGGCATTTTTCATCATATCTTTCCGAAACCGATTATTCATCATGTCAACCCTATATAAAAACAGAACAGCATATTTTAAATGACTTAAAAAGTCAGCATAAATAGCTGCTACCTTTAGTAGCATGAGAAAACATTTCATGGAACAATACATGTCAAGCAAGATTTGTTACATGTGAACTCCTCATATGTATAGTATCTGTTTTTCCTGAAACAAAAAGGAATCTCTCTTCAGATCATCTAGTTTAGCAGTCCCCAACCTTTTTGGCAACCTTTTTGGCACCAGGGACCGTTTTCATGGAAGACAATTTTTCCGTGGACAGGGGGTCTCAGGATGATTCAAGTGCATTGCACTTATTGTGTAGTCAAACCTCTCTAACGATAATATGTGTTTGCAGCTGATCTCCAGCACTAGTATCACCACCTCAGCTCATCGGGCATTAGATTCTCAGAAGGAGCAACCTAGATTCCTCACACGTGCAGTTTACAGTAGGGTTCTCCTGTGCTGCTGATCTGACAGGAGGCGGGGCTTAAGCAGTGACCTGAGCTCCCTGAGCTATGGAGAGCTTTGGGAGCACTAGGTAGGCTGTAAAATGGGCTGGGTGTGGTGTCTCACTCCTGTAATCCTAGCACTCTGAGAGGCAGGAAGATTGTTTGAGCTCAGGAGTTCAACACCAACCTGAGGAAGAGCAAGACCCATCTCTATTAAAAACAAAAAAATTAGCTGGGCATGGTGGTACTCCTGTAGTCCCAGCTACTCGGGAGGCTGAGGCAGAATTGTTTGAGGTTGCTGTTAGCTAGGCTGATGCCATGGGACTCTAGTAAAATGTTGAGTATACAGTACATCCTCATCCATGAAAGTATATATAGTGCTAATTAGTTCTTTAGTCTTTACTCAATTTCAGGTATTGTACTAAAAGTTCTGCATGTACTATTTCATTTAATCCCAATAGCTTCCTGATATAGTTACTACCATTATGCTCATTTTACAAATAAAAAAAGGTAGGCTCCAAACTTGCCCATGGTCAAGTAGGAACTGGCCAAATTAGAAGGCAAACTCAAGTCTGACTCCAAACGTTGTGTTCTCTTACCTATTCTATACAGCACAGAAGAGAAAACACAGGAGACATAAGTATGCCAACATGCTAACTAACAATCATTTCTCCTTGGTGGTGGGATTATGAATGATGAATGACCTTTTCTATGCTTTCAAATATTTCTCAAATATTCACATAATCACAAATTTGTACAGAAAATAATTTCTAACGTGTCCAGAGGGATTCTGGAAGAAAAGTTAGGTAACTTACATTTCTTCATCTTCATCTTCTTCATCCACCCAAACTGGCTTCTTTTGAGTTGGAAAATTATCTTTTGCTTCATTCTCCACTTCTGAGTCACCTGAGTCTTCATGTCCTTTAACCTACAGTAGACAAAATGTCCTCAAGCACTGAGTTTTTCCTATCACATGGTGCCACACACACATGCCTTCCAGTAAAATGAGTTGTAGAATGCTTTTTTATGGCCCTCTGATGGAATAACAGGATGGAATGCTACCACAGCCAAAGCTGGAGGCAGAAGCAGAAAATGAGACCAGAGAATGACACCACTGGCTGGAAAGGCAAAGCAGGATGAAACACTCGAGCAGAGAAAACCAACATGCTGAAAGGTAAAGACCAAGTAAGAACAAAAGGTATTGACAGACAAAAAAAGCAACAGGAGAAATGCCAGAACTACAACAATTACAGGACCAGAGGCAGACCAGAGTCCAAGCTATCTCCATTTTTTTTAGGAGACCTTGACTACCTACTTCCTTAAGAAACTTTATGCAGTACTCACAAATCTAAATTTACACCACAGAATACCCCTCAAAGCCAATTTGAGCTTTCCCAAAACGACGACAGAAATGTCTAAGTGATTTCTACTTGCCTACTGCCAATGGAAGATCAACAAATTGTTTGAAATTCCAACAAACCCCTCCTCCGTAGACTGCTCCCTTTCCTGACTATAAAACCCTCACACGGTTCATCATTTTTCCAGTAGCAGTTCTCTATCTCCTGACTAGATTACTGCTGCACCTTCTCCCACAAGCACCCAAAAGGAGGTTCTGGCAATCAGCTGACATTCTAGGTCAGCATTCATTCAACAAACATTGACTGAGTACTTCTCAGTGATGCTTTCCTGGGCCTCTAAAATTTCAGTCCTTCTCTACACACGCTGATCTCTCTTTCCCGAATTTCTTTTTCTCTTCAGCACTTATCAATATACTTGAATTTTACTTTCCTCCATTACCTTGTCTCTGTCACTACTACACAAGATCCAAGAGGGCAGGGATTTTTGTCAGTTTTGTCCAGTGCCCAGTCTTCTCCAGTGCCTAGAATAATGCCTAGGCCTCTGTATCTTGGAAGAAAAGCAAAGTATAAAATAAAGGAGTGATAAAAGTGTGCAAAAAGTATAATCAATCACTTAGTGATTGCCATTGCCAGGAAGAGTACCTGGCATCCAACAGGCTCGAAAACATTTGTTTTTGTTTTTTTTGTTGTTGCCCGGGCTTGAGTGCCTGGCATCAGCCTAGCTCACAGCAACCTCAAACTCCTGGGCTCAAGCAATCCTTCTGCCTCAACCCCCCTAGTAGTTGGGACTACAAGCATGAGCCACCATGCCCGGCTAATTTTTTCTATTTTTAGTTGGCCAATTAATTTCTTCCTATTTTTAGTAAAGACGGGGGTCTCGCTCTTGCTCAGGCTGGCTGGTTTCGAACTCCTGACCTTGAGCGATCCTCCTGCCTCAGCTTCCCAGAGTGGTAAGATTACAGGCGTGAGCCACTGCGCCCAGCCTCGAAAATATTTGTTGAATAGACGAACACGCGACCATTCCCAAAAGTGTGTCCCGTAATCGCGTGGGGAGACTGTTAAAACGCAGACTCCCAGGCCCGTGCACACGAACTAATGCCATCAACGAAAGTGAACTCCTGAATCACGGCAAGAAATTAATCACGGGAGGTAATTAAAACACCACGCTGAGTTTGGGGAGAGAATAGGGGAGCCTAGTTTTGAAGGACGCTCACGACTACAGTGCGCAAAACAAAGGGACACCAAATGCAGCGGCTCCTTCGGGGGCGGAGAAAGGCGCGGTCTCCGCCCTCCAGAGACTTTCAGTCTAGCGCCGAGAGGGGAGGGACGCGCAGCCGCGCCCCTCGGCGCCCGTGTTCTCGGGCTCCCTCCCACCTGAGCGTTTCTCGCCGCCGCAGGTCGCCCAGGCTCCGCCCTCGGAGCCTCGCCGCCCACCGCGCGCTCCACCCGAGCGCGCCCAGCCCGCGCGCCGCGGCCTCCCTCACCCGCGGGCCCCGCAGACGCCGCAGCAGCGCGTCCTCATCGTCCTCGACGTCGCCGAAGACCAGCTCCTCCAGGCACCGCTCCACGGCGGGTTTGTCCTCCTCCAGCGCCAGGCGGTTCCGCTGCCGGAGTCGTCTCTCTTCCTCCGCCGCCGCGACCGCCAGTGCAGCGGCCGCCGCGCCTAGCCGGGCCGGCGGTTTCCGGGGGGATGAAGAGGCAGCCTTTCGGGGCGGCCCGCCCGGCCCCGCTCGGGCTCTGCAATTCGGCCTCTTTTGGGTCTTCCGGTTCGGCCTTGCTGCGGCCCTCCGGTCGGGTTTCATTCGTTTCCTCCGTTCCGGCGGCATCGTTAGGTTTGAGAAGAAACGCAGGCGCTCACGTGGAACCTCACTGTGCATGCGCCGGGGCGCCTCGCTTTCCGCAGCCGCCGAGGCCCCGGGGGGCCGGAAGGAGCCTGCGCAGCCTCTCGCCACGTGACCAACACTCCCTCCCTACGTAACTCCCACTCCCTCTCCAGCCCCTCCCCGTGGGGGAGTTCCTCTGGGAGGGCCGATCTTCCGGGTGTAGGGGGAGGCGGCGTGACTGGAGTGGAAAATTTTCCCAGCACAACTTCGCAGCTGCAACAAGCTGAAAGGACCGCAAACAAGCCAGAGTAGAAACTGGAATGACTGAATGAAACTTCTACTCTTCCTTCAGACTTTAACGGCTCGACTTAACACAAGCCCCAAAACCTTTCCCACCCTTCGTCTTGGTACAGTCCTTAGAGTACGGAGCCTGCCGAGGGTCCCACGCTGGAAGAGAGAGAGGAGGGTATGTAGGGAAGTGGGCCAATCGGGGCGCGGGTCACGGCGCAGGCGCGCTGGGGAGGGAGGGCTATGCTAATGTTGTTGATATCCTGGGGCCACCCGAGTTAAAGGGGGGAAATCCGGGGGCTGCCGCAGCCGCCACCGGTCTGGGCCCAGCCGGGGGCCCCCTGTAGTCGCCGCAGTCCCTGGGAGAGGCACCTGCCCCCAGCTCGGGGAGGGGGCGCCGCGGGCTTGGGGAGCACGGACAACCCCTACCCATGAGGCCCTGATGGAAAACACAAAGGATCTGGTGAGAGCCGAGCGCGGCAGCCGCTTTGTGTGCCAGGTGGGGGGGACTCCTGCAGCTCCCCGACCCCAGGAACCTTGCAGCTGCCTGACCCCGCTCCCAGGCCTGCTTCTCCATCCCACGCCCCCTCAACCTCCGGAGCCCCCCTCCCCCTACCAGCCGTTAAACGATTCAGGGGTTCCCCTCCCCCCACCCCCTCTGCCCAGGACTCGTTGGGGTTCTCTCTATTCCCTCTACTCTCTGGAAGAAAAATGTAACAAGAAAGTTTTTCTCTGCGTCCCGCCCCTGCCCCCTGCTCTGGCTGGGGGAGAAAGACTGGATCTGAGACTTTTCCTTTTTTAGCCTCTCAGGGTGGGAGAGTGGAGTTCTCACTCACCGGAGGGGTGAGGGGGAAATAGTTTTGCTGCTTTTCTGGGAAAATGTGCCTATCCGACTTGGGGCCAGTGCCGCGAGGCATTTTGCACGTGGAGGTGGAAATATTGAAAGGGGGCGGGGTGGGCACGTGCGGGAGGGAGAGGTGGGAGTGATGTTTGGGAAGCAGCCGCCAAGGCAGCTAATTTAAAAGCGTTCCAAGTCGATGGGCTTCTGTGACCATTGCGTTCTCTTTTGTAAAATAAGAATCCTAACGTTTCAGAGTCGGAAGAGACATTAGAGGTCACCCAAAACAGCCGTCCCCTCTGCAGCCTCTGTGATAAGTGGTAGGTAATCTAGCCTCTGCTTAAACTCCTACAAACACTGAGCGCTCACTATTGCCCAGGAAAGCCCGTTCTGTTTTTCAGTAGTTCTAAATTGTTGTTTGCTTGCCCTTATTAAACCCTTCAGTCTCATTCATGTCCCGGTTAAGTTGCTCCTTTTTTTTACTTCTCAAATTTTCTCTCACATCCTCCTCACCCACCCACTGCTCATTGGCCTATATTTTGTGTGCCAGGAAAGAACAGCAGGGAAGTGGAGGAAGGAGGGTTTGAGAGATAGTGAGGGCCAGCTGAAAACTTTGCTGGGTCAGTTTCAAGTGTGCCGGCTTACATGTCTGAAGATGATTGATATTTTCACTAGAGAATTACAATCTGAAGATTTCATGGCTATATTCTCTCACTGGTGCATCTTTTGGAAGTCAAAAATTTCATCATCATCTTTGTAGTTCTCCTATCACAAGACACATTTGCTTGTTACCTAAATCACTTTTTCAAAAGATGCCTAAAATTGCCTCCTGGGGATAGTACTGAAGCTGTTAGAAGCATCATCTGGTAGAGGGATGATTTAAAGAACCGCTTCCCCTCCACCAATTTGACCTGCGTTCCTTGTAAGCTGGTCTTTTCTTCAAGTGCCTCTTCCGAATGTTTTATTTCCTTTTTTTTAAAACAACTCTTTCATGATATTTGAAATTTATATTTGCCTGGTGTTTACAATATTTTTAGTGTTCCTTACATTAATATGCACCAGTATTTATCACTTGGTTGCTGGGATAGTTCAGTTGAAACTATTGTCACTCAGTGTTTTTTTTTTAGTTCTTCATTTGGTGAGGTATGCTGGCCCCAAAAGTAGTTTTGTTGGCATAAGAATCTTGGGAGCACATGTTTTCCTAATATAGTGGAGTGGGAGTCAAGACATAACAGATACAATGTAGAAATAATACATCTGGTCTAAAAGCCAGCAAATAAATTTTATCTTAAGCCCCCCCCCCAGTCTCCTGTTTGAAAGGTTAGACATTTTTTTCTCTCTCCCTTTTATGACTTAGAGACTGTTTCTTTGCTCTTGTCTGGTTAGACTGTTATTTTATTTTTTGTTTGTTTACCTCAACACCAGAGTGTTTAGAAAGAAAATAGCTGTCTCTTTTTGCACCACCTCCTTCTCTGAATAACAAGTAGCTTCTATTTATATAGCACCCCATACTCAAGGCTTGTCAGTACCTTGCAAATTACGGCAACATCTGTCTTGAATAAGTATCTGTTCTTAGTGTCTTATGTTGAGCCATATTTTTTAATCATCCAGTTTTTAACTTTATGTAAACTTTGACATAAAATATTTCTCCTAAATTTTTACTAGAATTTAACATAGAATTAAATATTAGATGGTGGAAAAAAATTAAGAGAGCTGAAGAATTGTGTCTTTAAAGTTTTTAATTAATATGGAGTTCCAAGTTGTTTTCCTGCTTACTTTAAACATGAACTATCATGACTATAGTTAACTGCCTTTGGAGACATTTGCATTCTAAACATACTAGACAGGAACAACTGGTTTTATTTTTGAAGAAGACATTGATGTATTTTTTATGGCTAGTTATATGTTGACCTTATCATCTAAATCTTTCTAGATGTTCAGATGCTAGTCTAACTATGTTGAAAATTAAAATGAAACAGTTTATTTTAAATTGTTTTAAAACATAGTGGTCAAAAGATAGTAAAACTATACTTTAGAAGTATAAACAACATATTAATATCATAAATACTAAACCAGTGTATTATTAAAAGCCAAGAGTGCTCAGTGGTCTGAGTGACCACATTCTAAAATTAGACAAGTCACATTCTTTGGGTTGCTCCTTCTTTCTTAATTTTTCATCTTTAAAATGTTTGCTGTATAAAATTTAACCTTTCACACTTAGAATTTCAAGGTAAGTCAGTTAATATGTATCATTAGTCTCGGGGTTTCAAATCTAAGAAAGAAAACATCAAGACAATGGAAAGAGGAAGGACTGAAAATAGTTAAAATAAGCTGTGTTTCCTAACAGGGTATTCTCCACTATCCAAGATGACTTTTGATTTTATACAAAAATTGCAAATTAGTTTAGATTTAATTATTCTTTTTTAATAAGAATATCCTTTAATCCTTTGTTTTAAGGATTTCCCACACCCACACAAATTTAGAATTTTTCTTGCTTTGCTGGAACCCACAACAAAAAGTGAAAAGGAAATAACTCCCATTTGAACAAACCCTGAATATGAAGTAGAATGATGTAATACGATAGGAAGGGCACTGACAGATGAGGTTATAGTGCTGTTCTGCCACTTACTAGCTCCATGGCCTTTGTTGCTGAAGATCCTGTACCTCAGTTTTCTCATCACAGTTGAAGGCTTGGTCTGGAATCATCACTGTCCAATGGAACTTTCTTCCATGATGGAAATGTCTTACACCTATACTGTCCAGTGTGGTAGTCACTAGCTACATATGGCTATCGAATACTTAAAATATAGCTAATGGGACTGAAGAACTCAGTTTTTTGTTAGTGTTTTAGTCAATGTAAATTTAAGTAGCCAAACATCTGCCATACTGGATATGCAGCTATAGAACAGTATTTTCCAAGCTTAATCAATCACTAGAATCACCTCTTTGGGGCTCCTATTAAAAAAGAACCTGTCTACTGGAGGTTATTCAGTAGGTCTGCATTGGGGCCTAGGAATCTATTTTTAATATATGCCCCAGAAAATTTTTTTATCAGATTGGTTAAGGAAACACTCCATTAGGAGGTTTTCAATCTCACTTCTAGTTTTCCCTTTAGTATTGATAATTTAAGATTTAGTGTAGTAGAAGTAAGCTCTGGACAAAGTCAGCAGACTGGCTGGTTTCTAGCTCTGACTCTGCCAAGTCCTGACCTGTGATCTTAGGCAAATTGCCTAATCTCTTTGAGCTTCATTTTTCTCATCTGAAATATGGGGTGAGCATCAGCCCTGCCTCCCTTCCAAAGTTTCCATAAACCACCACTCAGATGTGATGACCACTGCATGGGAAAATGCAGGCTGCTAGAAAGGATAGTTAAAATGCTAACATATCTTCCCAGAATCCCCTTCTTTTATCCTTTTCATTATATTATCTAATTCCTACTCCTATTCTTATAAAACTGGTTGTATATAGTACTCATTAGTTTATTTAAATCATTGTGGCTCAATTATTTGGCCATATCTTACAGCCTAGTTATAGAGCAGGCAAATTAAGTCTAATACTTCTTTGTTTTTCTGGTGTTTAGCATAATGATTTGTATATATTGCTCAATAAATATTGGTTGTTGTAATCTGTTACTGTACTTTTAGACTTTAAAACTTTAATTTGATAGTTACAGATTATTTTATATACCAGAGAAGTATCCCCCTGTGTACATAAATGTGTTTTACCCAATTTGAATTGTTTCATTAACACCCTATAGTTATTATTGTTCAGTGATTATATATCTTTTGAGCAACCAGCTCCAAATATATTTTTAAAAGATAAACACCAAGAGAATGTCATCATTTTATATCAAACATTTTTAGGTTGTATCAAATCAACATGACACTGAATAACCTGTATAACTTATTTCCTCTAAATTATCATATTAATGAATGATCGTGTTTGATTGCTCAAACCACATTTGTACTACAGACC